GGGGTGGATGATTTATGTAACGGGAAGTTCCTGGAGAATCGTATATTCTTAAGGATAACCCGAACATACGACTGAGGATAACGTATTCTTTGTTATACCCAGTTTTGCAAAGAAAGCTGGAGGTGGATAATTCATGTAACGGGAAGTTCCCGAAAGAATACTATATGTAATTTTCTTAGGGATAACCCGATCATTACATAACAAAGTGATAAACACTATATCCCCACGATGGTTTTTGAATACTCTTTTGTTGAGGTGAGATTCGATCACTTCGTTGGATCAATCTTCCCTCACAAAATTCTCTCATGGTCAAACCTTTAAACGGTTAGGTCCAAAGCCAAAATCTCCTCTCGATTCCTTCAATGAACGAGAGGTCCACAAATTGAACGATTAAACCTTTAAACAGTTAGGATCGTTTCAAAACTCCCACTTGGTCAAAACCTTACTACAGTTAGGACCACAACCAAAATCCCCTTTCGATTCCTTCCATGAACGAGAGGTCCACTTTTAGTTGAATAATCAAACCTTGTGACAGTTAGGATTATTCAAACCAGTCTAAACTCTCTAAGTGGAGATCCCACTTTGAGTTTCTTTTGCATCAGGAGATAGAATATAAAATTCTTCCTCTCCATCATCGGGTTCATCTCTACCAACAAAAAAAAAAGACCAGGAGATAGAATATAAAATTCTTCCTCTCCGATTTTGGGTTCACCTTGTGACAGTTAGGATTATTCAAACCAGTCTAAACTCTCTAAGTGGAGATCCCACTTTGAGTTTCTTTTGCATCAGGAGATAGAATATAAAATTCTTCCTCTCCAATTCTGGGTTTATCTCTACCAACAAACAAGAGATCAGGAGATAGAATATAAAATTCTTCCTCTCCATCATCGGGTTTATCTCTACCAACAAACAAGAGATCAGGAGATAGAATATAAAATTCTTCCTCTCCAATTCTGGGTTTATCTCTACCAACAAACAAGAGACCAGGAGATAGAATATAAAATTCTCTTAAGAATAACCTGAATACTCCAATAGGTATACGAGTCTAAACTGTTTCCCTACCTTCAACAGGAAGTTTCTAGAGAATATCAATCAAAATATTCTTAAGAATAACCTGAATACTCCAATGGGTACACGAGTCTAAACTGTATTCCCTATCCTCAACAGGAAGTTTCTGGAGAATATCAGTTAAAATATTCTTGAGAATAACCTGACTACCCCTAAACGGGTATATGCAGTGTCAACTTGACGACAAGAGCTGATTTCACAAGTACAAGTTCCAGCTTTAATTCAAGATCTCTACAATGGACAAGCGATAAACGCGATGCCGGGAAGAATCTTAACTATTCTACAAAGCACTGAATAGATTGAGAGACAAAGAGATCAAAAGTTGAAGCCACCTACGGGTTCCTCTACACGATCTACTCAACCAAGCATTGAAAGGATCGTAAGTAAGATCTATCTTATCCAAAGCATCCCAGAACTCCTCTATAAAAGATTGAGTCTGGAATACTTTGGAGGGGGTATCTGTAGGCGTCAAAAAATGCTGAAAGATATCCAAATACAGCTCAAGAGGAAATCATCCAAAAAGGCAGAAAAAACACAAGTCTTTACTGTCTCGCACGCAAGACAGACTTGACTGTCTCGCCGTGCGAGACAGACTTGACTGTCTCGCCGCGCGAGACAGTCTTTACTGTCTCGCCGTGCGAGACAGTCTTTACTGTCTCGCGGGCAAGACAGACTTTTACTGTCTCGCCCACGCGAGACAGTGTTCACTGTCTCGCCCACGCGATGCCTCAATGATTAATTTAAAACTTAATAACCCATTTGTCATCAGAAAAGTCGACAGAAGGGTGTAGCTGGAAGATAACTTGAAATCACAATATAAAACATGAAATATATAAAAGGTAAGGTGAAATAAGTAACTTTTAATGAAAGTGTTAAAACTCAATAAACTATGGTTATCCTTTTAGATAGTTAAATATCAAAAATGATTTGCCAAAAACGAAATGCAAAGATTACTCTCCTTTGTGGAAACAAAAAATGCTCCTGTAAGAGACTAAATAAGAAACGAAGTCAAATTGATCCATTTCTTGGAAAATAAATTCTCTCTCTGATTATAAAGGTGGTACATGTAAATTCCATGCGCCCATGTGGCACGCATTCAGTAGATATCGGAAAATCACAACCAATGGCTAGATGCTGTTGAATATTAGGTGACAAGGAAACTGAAGAATAAAGTTCCAAAAGCAGAATAAGATTATAAATAACCAAAGGGTGATGAATGGTGAACAGACCATTGAAATAACAGTCTTGGTGTTGTTGCAAAAATCTTCATGATATTTGGAAATTTTACCAAACTGAAAAAACGTGACAGCCACTAAAATATGAGCAAAACTGAGATTCCTCACTGAGGTGACTTACCAACATTCTTGAGAAGGCTAACACCAACATTATGTGCATGCACCGATCCGGCCATAGTGACACATGGAACTCCCATATACAGTGATTCACATGTAGTAGTAGTTCCCGCATACGGAAATGTATCCAAGCTACAAAGGAACGATCATTTTCAGGAGGAAAAAGAAGCAACTACAGAATGAAATAACATGTAGGAGAAATCATGTAGAAAAAGAAAACTGAGAACAGTGCCTAACAATCACAATGCACTGTCCCAGTAATACCATGGAACCTGTACTGAGTTTTATAATATCATGATGAAAAATTTACCCAAAGTGTAAAAGAGAACTAAACAGCAATGGAGAACATTTTACTAACATGATCATGTCTCTATTCACTTTATAATAATTATAACCATAATAATCTCTGTGCATCATCGCTTGCAGTGTTGTAGGGAAGAAAATTATGATTCAAGATGTACAACATGTGATATAAATATTTTCATGATAACATAAAAAGATCATGAATATTAAAAATATGGGTAAATAACTAAATATAGTTAAAAACTTGAAGCAACTCATGGTATGTCACAAAGAAAAGTTTCACAATATAGAGAGGGAAGATCAAGAGCCTGCATATATATCTTAAAGATACGATAGGTTTGCATGACAAATGATGGCGCTGAAGAAATATACAGAAAGAAAGGACATTTTGCTCCTTATTACAGAACCTTGGATCTCACTTTTATCAGGCCCTACGCTGCTTCCACTATATCATATGGTGTAGGAGGTTAAAAAATCACATCAGCTTTCCAAAATAAAGGTAAAATGTTCCACGAGTAGATTTCAGATGACCACTTCATGTGGTAAACAAGCATCAGTATGAAATAGACAACTAAAAAACATAACCAACTTACTAGACTAAATCCTCTAAAACCCACAACGCCAGACCAAAAGAAGGAACTGTCTGATATCCTGAAGATGACCAAAATAATACATCTATCGAAAGAGGCATTGATAAACAATGACCATCTTGATATGGAAAAAAAGTCAGTATCAAATAGACAAAACTTTAAAAACTAACCAATTTACTAGTTTGGATCCTATAAAACCCATAAAATGCCAGACCAACAGAACTCTTTATTATACTGAAGAAGACCAAAATAATAAATATATCGGAAAAGACATCGATATATAGTAAAAGTTCCATAGATGTTAAAAGGTACAACACAAATACTAAAAGAATGACAAATAGTTAAAGCATGAAGAACACGAGACAGTTGATGGGGACAAAAAAAAAAGATTCAGCTATCTACCTGATATCCATTAGTGAATATGCTTGCATATGGTCATGGTTGAGAAGAATTAGAGGCAGAAGATCAACACGTAGCGGCTCCAGTCCTAATTGCTCCAAAATTGAAAGAAATCTCTGTCTTACACTATCAGAACAGAAAGGCTTACACTTGACAACAAGCCGGGAGTTAGGAACAGCACATAATATCCTTGCCCAAACTTTTAATACTTTTGGCGTTATCTGCCAGAAAAAAAAAGATGAACAACGCAAAGCTGTAATTCAGTTTAGCTAAACATTTTTAAAAGAGACATTCAATAATAACACTACCTTTGCCAAATTATTGAAGCTCCCAAAAGTAATAAAACCATTAGAAAGAGCTGGTGTGGGACAAACAGGACCAGCATCCGGCGAAGGCGTATAACAGAGAAAACATTTAGGCAAACGAACCAACTCCTCAACATGCCTGCAGCCACAATTAGTCAGAATATCTCTATCTATACAATTTAAAATCAAATCTCAAAAGTTCAACTCACTTCTGCTTTGTGTCAAGGGGATCAGCCAGTGCATCTGTGATTCTATAATCAATTGTTGGCAGACCGGTTGTATTTGGGTAACCAATCCATGTTGCCTAAGAAAGCATAGTGGGAGAAAAAGTAACTATGAGAGGCAAAATTCATAAAGAAAATTATCATTGTTAAAAGTAGTTATTGGAAATAATTACATGCGGATCTTCAGTCTTAGTTCATTTTAACATGAGGAAATAAGCTAAGAAGCACAAGTTGGCATGCAGACATGGAAGCAACATGATAGACATGAAGATAAAAATGATAAAAGGTACAAAAGGAATGGCAAGTACGCAACAAAAAGTGTCATCTCCAATATATGACTGACATTAATATAGCTTCACAGTAGAAATATCCATGAAAATAAAAGGATGCTCTTTAATAGAAGAACAACCTATATCCTGTTGTATCTCAGCAAAATTTGGCAGTTTACTGCCACTTTCTAGTTGAGTTTACTCGCAGACAGTGTTTAGGCCACAAGACTGGAGGTTTCAAGGGGTATGAGTGTAAATAAGAACTGTGGAGGTGAAGGTCATTAAGGAGCATGTTTTACATGGATGTATGTAAAAAACAAAGCGACTCAAGCAATTCCAGGAAACATGATAAATGACAAGGATGCTAAATTTATAAATTTTAAAAATATCAAGAGGAACAAAAACGCAGAGAAGGTGATACAGATGTGAATTTAAATAAGGGCAGTACCTGGATGGGAGCAGGCCTGCAGGCCATCATCCCTAGCTTGTTATTTGCAGTGTGACCAGTAAGCTCCACCAGTATGTCAACTTTATCCTCCCTAACCATGCTAGCAACCTTCTTCTCATCAATCCCATATATATCCCTCCATAGCCCTCCTTTTTTCAGCACCCTGTCCTTGAATTTATGGGTTTTGGCATCTGCCTACAATATCACAGTAAAACACAAGGACACTAACTATGTTTAAGCGTAAAGGACAGAGACTTTATAATTTACTGAAAATGATTGAAAGAAAAAAAAAAGTAGAAGTAGAAAAATTGATTGGTTTACATATCATACAGCCCCCATAAACTTGACTTAAAGACGTGTTGTAAATTACTTGAAAAAAGACTTCAAGATACTTGAAAAAAGACTTCAAGTTAACTAAGTGGTGACACTTGTGCATGAGAGAAATAACCATACCTTTACAACACCAGAGTACACAATCACCTTGTAATTTGTGTAATCATGGAAAAAGAGAGGTGCTTCAATGAAATATGATACAGAGTGAGTAATATAATCAGGTGACACATATCCAATTACTAATGGGCGTTCCATATCTTTAGGATTATCCCAACTGGTATATTGAGGGTATAGCTTCATAAATCGCATTCCCCATTCCCTGAGGAACAATTAAACATCAGTCAGTCAAACTACTATGAATTTGTACCACTAACTGAAGTAGTTTTATGTGCTCATTCCCTGTTGAAATTAAAAGTACAGAACTGAACTTGTAAACAACTAAATACTGAAGTTGCAGAATTACCAATAAAAATGATTAACAGGTGTGGTATACAAAACTCATAATCATTTTCATGATTAACAGGCATGCTATAAAAATGAAGTAGTTTTATATGTTCACTCCGTGTTGAAGTCAAAATGACAGCACTGAACTTGTAAACAACTAAACAAGTAATAATGAAGTTGCAGAATTATCAAAATAAATTATTAACAGGCTGCTATATAACACTCGTGTCTATTGCATGCAGATTTCATTCGGATGGTACTTCAATAAGAAAATTTTAGCAAGAAATCAGATATTCCATCTAAAAAGACATGGTTCTACATTTGTTTCCAACAAAGATAATTTGATCAAAAGTACCATATATGCATCTTTCAATACAGGAACTTCGTGGAACATAAAAAAATTCACAATACAGCTACACAAAAAGAGACAAAAAAACAGAGAGGATATCCATAACATTGACACTCCGATCTTAATGAACCAAGGAAATTTGCAATGGCAAAAAAAAGTTCTCATTTGCAAAGCATCTATAAAACAGGTTTTCCATCCTTTTAAATATGACACGGCAGAGCAACAATGAATCATAATGCATTAACTACAATATAAATTTTATCAGGCTCTCATCAGATTTCTTTTGGACCAACGAATTTGAAGAACAGTTCGACAAATATTTCTAATTCCCAAGGCATTCAATAACATTCATTAACTTGACAAAGCAATCGTGTGGCATAAACCTGTCACAATAGATGGGCAGCAAAACAATAGAAGCGCTCAATGAGATCGAAAAGTATCACCTCTTCTATAGTCAAAATCAAACAGAGTTGATTCATCTAAAATGAAGCTTAAAAAGTTCAAACATAAAAGCTAACTCCTAGATTGAATCTTACCAGGTTTGGAATAAAAACCAACTATTATCGAAAATTGACTTCTAAATACACTGATAATCTCATATTATAGAAATATCCATAAACAGGTACCGAACAGAATGGGAATCCTGTGAAAGCATATATACTTTGTAAAGAGTTAGAAATACCTGTGAGCCTCAAAAAGCTTATCATCAGAGCCCTCATTTATATAGTTCATTGCAAGCAGCCGGTTCTGCAAGAAGTTAATTGCTTGAGAAAATTTCATAGAAAGCACCAGAAGAATCAAACAGCATAGGTAATTTCTACTTAGCATTCAGTACATGATTCATGACTTAGATATTGAATGTCTAAACATCCAAGAATCTACCAGAACATCTAGACTGGAAGACGATATATTGTAATGATGTAAAACTCAATACATGTTACGGCAGGAAAATTTCAGTAGAATTACAACCAACAGCAACCTCAACTAATGAATAGAATGTTATGGAAAAAATAGGTCACGCTATACAAATAAATTCTGAATGCTTTATTGACACTGATAGATAGTACTATTTTTTTTCCTTAGCTTCCAATATACATAAAGAGTAATGCTTCATAAGATCCACGAATAGCTGATATTTTGTGAATAGTTTATTCATAAGAAGATTTACAGAAACCATGCCCCGAAAAACAGTTGAATGAGAATATTAGTGAATGATTCACCAATATGTCAATGTAATAATACAAAAAATGAGCTAGATTTTTGCAGTAACTAGTAAAAGAAAAAGTAGGTAGAAAGAACATGTGCTGTGTTTCACTACATACTAGCAAAAAACCAAGCTTCCAACATAAATAGTGACGCTTCATAAGATCCATGAATAGTTGATATTTTGTGAATAACTTATCCATAAGAAGATTTACAGAAACCATTCACCGAAAAACGATTGAATTAGAATATTAGCGAATGGTTCACCAATTCGTCAATGTAATAATACAAAAAATGAGTTAGATTTGTAATAACTAACTAGCAAAAAACAAGCATATACATAATAACCTCTAATACTGCAAAAACAGAGTGCATGAATTGTGAATTCCTCCAATAAGGTTATAATTATCGATAGAAATGAATAACTACATGTAGGCGTCAAAAAATGCTTACAGACATTCAAACACCACTCAAGACGATATAGAAGAACAATATACACGTCATCAAGCAACATATGGCGGCGCGGCAGGACATGGTGCCGCGGCTATGGCGCGGCAGACCAAGGTGCCGCGGCTAAGGCGCGGCAGACCAAGGTGCCGCGGCTAAGGCGCGGCAGCCTATGGTGTCGCGGCTTAACCGCTGCAACCTATGGTGCCGCGGCAGTTAAAGCAGGATGCTACAGCAGTTATAATACAGTTATCTGATGATTATTTAAAGTCCACGTGGCGGAGTATCAGAAATAGAACGTGTGCTGATGTGGAAAAGCAGTTAAACCACGAAAAAGGTGGTTAAAGGTCGTGGGAGAACTGTTTCAAACACGTATGAACGTGGGTGTAACTGCCCCTTTAGCCGCGGCAGTGTCGACTGCCGCGCTCTTTGGCCGCGACAGTGTCGACTGTCGCGCCCTTTAGCCGCGACAGCATCAGCTGCCGCGCCTAAAGAGACAGTTATTGACCAGCTATTTCTTCAGTTATCGTCTAAGGAGGCTATAAATACCCCCCTATAGCCATCATTGACAGGGGCTGAGCATTTTCCAGAGAGATTAGAGCAGAGAGCCTTGAGTTTTGGTGAATTAGAGCAAGAGAGAGAGTCTTCCTTCTTCACAAACATCCTCAAGAAGCTTCTAGCGAGTCCTAGAGATCTAAGCTCAGACTTGATCTTTGGAAGAGTGAACATCTTACATCGATAAGATATTCGCTTCAAATTCTTACTTCGATAAACGAAGGAAGAATCATTAAACCCCTCACGGTTCAATCAGAATCTGTGATTTGGTGGTCCACGAGTCAAAGCGCTCCCGGCACAGGCAAAGATCCCACGAAAGCAGTGATCCAAACAACGATCCTGCGTTTATTTTCTCAAGAGTTGTAATTTTCTTTTTGTTGTGTAAAAGAGTCTTATAAAAAGGCTGTTTTCTTTGAATTTATTGTAATCGACCGAAGATATAATGAATTCCATGACAAAACCAACTTTTGACCCAAACAAGCTGGCGACCACAGTGGGAGCCAACGGTCTCGCTGCCGAGACCGTCGTGTCGCAGCCGATCAAGATTCCAGTTGAATCCATGGTCGAATACGAATTCGACCAAACCAAGTTTGAGGAATATTTCTCATCATCCTCTTCAAGATCTTCAGTATCTCGCAAGTACAAGAGGATCTCACAATTGAGGAAGAGTTGCATGCCAAAGAAGGCACAAAATGAAGACTCTCGCTTGATTGTTGCTGAGAATTTCACTCGCAATACTTCTGCTCACAATGGCTCTTATCTAGTTAAAGAGTCATCGAATCAAAGCCCGCCGGCATTGACGAAAAGAGCTCGTCAGAGACAACGCCAACGCTGTGCTCGCCAAATGGCTAAAGCCTTGGAACAAACCGACGGGGTTCGTTACCACGCGGACCTAGAGTCGAGGAGACATCGAGTGGTTCAGTTGTCTCAACAACCAATCACTCGTATCTCTGCTAAAACAACGACGGATGAATGGACTATTGTCAAAAAGACTCGTTCGACCCTCAAAGAACGTATACAAAAACGTCGTGCAAAAGCTGCTAATGCCCATGCTCTCTCACAACAAAGACGAGAAAAGAGAAAGGAAATGGTGACCAAAGAATCACCAAAACTTCGTCAAGTTTGGATTCCAAAGTCTGGACTTATGCAAAATCAGCATTCGGAGCCCGTTAAGACTCCATACCCACAAGGGGGTGGTTCTAAACGTGCGACTCCCGACATAACCTTGGATCGCTTAAAGACAAAAATAAATTGTCCTGAGAATGCCAACAAGGTTTTATACCCCCAGAAGAAGACGCATTCACCAAATGATATCGTCATACCTGGGAGATCATACCAACAGACGATACGATTTTTTGGCAATCATACCGATGAATCGTATTATCAAGTTGAAGTTGTGAATAATTTTCAAAAGAGAGTTATTCGAGAGATAAACTCTCGTTGTTCCTGTGCGCGACTCGTTAAAACAGCATTATCAGAATGTGACTGTTTCAAACGAGAAGTCATCCCACGAAAAGTCTCTGTATTATCGAAACCTAAGCCGAGACATTTCCGCAAAAGAAGATCAGCTGTCAAAATCACCATCAACGTAGCTGATAGAAGAAAGTCTAAACAGCATTCAAGTGACTCAAATCCCGACTTTTCCCCGAAAGGAAAAGTCAATCCAAGAATTGATCAAAGGATGTCTCGACTCCAATTAGGAGCTATCAGACGCAGAGACTACAAGAGAATGCAAGAAGGAATGTCCTCGGAGGATGAATTCTCGGACACTTATTCTGCAATCGCTTCTGATGATACAATGTCTATCACAGGACAAATCAGAGAAGTATTCACAATCACTGCTGATCAGTTCACTCAAATACTTCAAGAAGCTCTAGCCAAACAACGTGAAGAAATTAGAGCTGAAGTGAAGACAGAGATGAAGTTAGCTATTCAACAAATGAGAGAATTGCTAACTCAACAACCTCAACCTCCTGAGTCCAGTCAGCGAACTGAATCCAGCCGCCACACTCAGAATGGTGTAGATACAACGTGAAGAAATTAGAGCTGAAGTGAAGACAGAGATGAAGTTAGCTATTCAACAAATGAGAGAATTGCTAACTCAACAACCTCAACCTCCTGAGTCCAGTCAGCGAACTGAATCCAGCCGCCACACTCAGAATGGTGTAGATGATAGTGATCCAGAAGTGGATGAAGTCATTCCTCCCAATAACAACATTGGGGGTAGTTCAATTGCACCGTTTAGTAATACTGGGGGTGACCCAAGTATCTCTGCTCGACATTATTCAGAAAGAGACGATGACGGGAAAATGCAAAAGCTTGAAGACAAAATCAATGCTTTGATGACGGCTCAAGAAGTTAAGAAGACGGGTATTCCATGTCCTTATCCGAGGGAATGGGATTCAATACCATACCCGACAAAGTTCAATCTGATTAACTTCACACCGTTTGAGGGGAAGAGTTCGCCGATTCAGCACTTGATTTATTTCAAGTCTCATTTGGGCATGATCTCTGGAAACGAGGCTTTAATGGTCCGGTCATTCGTTGGCACCCTTCGTGGGCCCGCCTTCGATTGGTACCGACGGCTCAAGCCAGGGAGCATCAATTGTTGGGATGACATGGAAAGTTTGTTCCTCAGCAACTTCTTCGATGATGACACCGAAGTGTCAATCAGAAAGAAAGTTTGTTCCTCAGCAACTTCTTTGATGATGACACAGAAGTGTCAATCGGAACCCTTCTAGATGAGAAGCAAAAAGACGGAGAGTCAGTTGACAACTTTGTCAAACGTTTCCGTGGTAAAGCAATGAATTGCAGAGATCCTATTACAGAGGAGTTTATCCTGCAAACATGTCACAATAACCTCTCCATCGATGTCCTGGAAGCTCTGGGGGTCGTGCCATCCACAACTTGGAAGGAGTTAAAATCTCGGGGTGAACAAGCTGAGCACTTTCTTAAAAGAAAGAAAGCTGAGAGAGGCCAACCAATGACATCTGCAATCGTTGAGAATGCGACTCTCGATCCGAGGTTTCAAAAGGATAAAATCGAGCTACCGCCTATTAAAGATCAGGAGGGTGCTAAGATGATTACAGATCCAAATTACTGTGCATACCACAGAAGGGTTCTTCATCCCACCGAGATTTGCTTTGGACTCAAAAACAAGACCTAATTGACTCCGGCGTCATAACGACGAAAGAAGTCGAGTAAAGACGACCATATACTCCATCGGATACACGAGTATAAACTGTTTTCCCCAACTCCAGTGGGTGCACGAGTATAAACTGTTTCCCCACACTCCAAAGAGTATATGAGTATAAACTGCTTCTCGGTCATCCAACTAAGTACAATGCTAAACCCAGTTTTGCAAAGAAAGCTGGGGGTGGATGATTTATGTAACGGGAAGTTCCTGGAGAATCGTATATTCTTAAGGATAACCCGAACATACGACTGAGGATAACGTATTCTTTGTTATACCCAGTTTTGCAAAGAAAGCTGGGGGT